TGTTTTTTTATTGGGTGAACGGTGCCATTCGGTACGGTTTAGAACTATAATTCAGCTAGTCATAATTCTAATTTCAAGAGGGGGCCATTGGTATGATTTTTTTCAGAAATCGGAGGGGAGGGTCAGGACCCCCCTGACACCCCCCTAAATTCGCCACTGCAGTGTGACAATTTGGTAAACGAACTCGACCCACGTTACTTAGAGAAAATGAAAAATGTACTTTGTTTAAAATGAAAGTAAAACATGCACTGGATATTGTTTTGGTTAATACACGTAGCAGTAACTGATCTCAGAAAAAATCTTAATTAGTACCACTGGACCTACGTCTTCAAATGACCCAAGCTGAACAGTGGATTTGAAAATTTCCATTCCCACCCTCACCTCCACAAAAAATAAATATATAAATAAATAAATTAGGCCCACGTCTATAGATCTTATCTCTCGTTAATCAACTTATTAATTCGTTTGGCCTTAGCAAGGATCCTAGATAATAGGCGTAAGTGAAAGGTGCGCTGTGCCGCACGTCCCGTTAAGGGGGCCCGCACACGGTGAGCATTTAGCGCGCGCCACTTGCGCTGCGCCGTTTTCTCATCGTGTGCGGGGCTATTTCGGTGAGATTTTTGCCCCTCGCGCGGCTGAGCAAAATTTCTCACGTGTTTGATTTTTTTTGTCTCTTGAGGCAAATGTCTCAGCGTGTGCGGGGTGCAAGCCCGTTATCTCCCGCTCTGATTGTCCATTTAATTTAACCTTTAACCAACAATTTCGAGATTAAACATTCATCCGAGACAAGCAGATAACACTTGTGCCTAACAGGAAGCATTTATACATTTACGCCAAATTGCGGTACAGGTGAGGAGGAAAAGCAAAGTGAAAGTGTGGAGGTTGCTGTTCGCGAAGATTTTCTTTTGAGTTTAACAGAATATTTTATGACTTACTTATAAGTAAACATTAGGACAGGGACCGTTACCTCCCCCCCTTCCATCTCCGCTTCCTGCACTTCTGGCTAATGTGAGGGGGTGGGGGTGGGGAGACCCCCCCCCTCACATTAGCCAGACCGAATATAATCCATCATCAGTCGGGGGGGGGGGGGGGGGGAACTTGGGGCCCC